TTCAATCATCATGATTTTCATCTTTCATCACATATATCTCACAAAGGTTGAAATTTTTTGTTTAGTAACTCTGTAAAGTTTTCAAAATTATTCTATTTACTCACAATGGAGTTAAGTTAAAAAATTTATGAACATTTGAAGTCTAAGGTTTGAAATGTGAATTGTGTAGAAAATCAGTTTTGACCTTTTATCATATTTCATATCATATCTCTTACTACAAATATCATTTTAACGTGATACATATCTCATTTGAAAATAGACTCTAACATATTTTTGATGATAGTTTATTTATTCAAAATAAAGTTCTATTAAGAAAGATATAAATTTTAAAAATTGAGTGTTGAGATATTGATTTTGCAAAAATTTTAGTCTTAATCTTTGTACACTCTTTAGATCATATCTCAAAATACATGTTGAATTTCACTGTTAAACTTCTTTCATTGAAAACTAGACTTTAAGATCTTTTCAACTATATATAATTTGTCAAATTTTGAGTTATATTAAGTAAGTTAGGACATTATGAAGTTTTACACAGAGAAGCTACATGATCACGTGTGAGAACAGTTGGGTCACACGCATGTTTTAGCACCAGTGCAAAAACTCGCATGAGAGCACTTCTTGATCATGCATTAAATGACCTCCAAAAGCCCATTTTCATTCTAAATAGCTTCTAAGTGCTCAATCAAGTTTATTTTACCTATCCCACACAAGACCTCCAAAAGCACTAAATAAGCACTATAAGCTAAATCACACGTGAGATACTTTCAAAACTCACGTGATCTGTCGTTTTTGCTTGAGAAACATCCAAAACATGCATGTATTAGCATTGGACACTCACAAAAAAAATTCACTAATGGCTATATTCATTGTGTAACGTACGTCTCCAAATAGTCATTTGATGTCTCTAACGCATATTTCACTCCATAAAATATAAATTTAACACTCCAAACCAATTTAAACAAGAAATTAACCTTAGAAATTATTAAGCTATGAAATTCATGATCATATTACTCTTGTTATATGAAAATCATCATTCTTGAGCCAAGATCGTTTATATCTTCATTATTTAAGCATTAGAACTTCATTATATTCATCATTACCCATAGAGAGAGTTGCAACTAAGTAATACACATACTCAAAACCTTTGTAAAGATGAGGAAGAGATTTTTCTTGGAATCAAGAGAGGTTGCTCTCTTAGGAAAGGAAGCTCACTAGTAAAGTGAGTTGGTGTAAAGGCTTACAAATGCCTAAACTAAACTTGTGGATGTACTAAGATGGCAAGCACCTACTCAAGTTTGTGTTTTAGTGAAGAAATCTCAAGTAGTTACTTGGAGATTGGATGTAGGCTCAAGAGGAGGAGCTGAACCAGGGTAAGCCTTTGTTTGCAATCTCTCTTCCTTTAACTCTTTACATTTCCAGCAACCTTAGCATATGCTATGTTTTAGTGTTCAAAATATAATATGATATATTTAGTTGCTCTTACTCGAACTTGCACTTAGAAATTGCTTCTAAACATTTATACACATATTGAGCTTGTGAAAACAACTTTGGCATTCTTACACACATAATTTAGAACTCAAATTTGTTAAAACTTCCTTTGAACACGGTTTTGCTGAAAAGTTTGAAAAGAATCGAAATTTTCTCAAAAACCCAATCCACCCCCCTCTTGGGAGTTTTTTCATATCTAACATTACCAATCATACTACGCTCCTAGCGGCGTAAATTCTCACAAGCAACTTCATAAGTGCTTAATTTACATAACTCAGTACCTCTCAATCAATTCTCAACACTTTTCACATGCATTGATTCGGCTAAATCGAACCCCTTAACACATATAACAGTTCAATTGAATCTTTTTGAATTCACTTATCCATTATTTATTATCATTAGTCCTATAGGCCACTTAAACAATCATAACAGCCTCCTAATCCATTCATTCACCCAAATTCTTACTATTAACCTAACTTTTAAGCCATTTTGAGTCTCAATCCTCAAAGGTCCACCATTTAACTCCATACTAGTCACAAAGCCTTAGTTCTTTATTCGATATCTTGTTTTAAACCTTTCTTTTAGATTACATCAAATTAAAATCTCATTTTTTGATTTCTCAACCAATGAAATGTTAAAAATTGTATCCTAGGATCAATCATTATACTATGCATATTGTTATTAAATGAATTTCTCTTTTGTTATCATAACAATTGCATGTTCGATATGATAACTGTATCCCTGAACAAACCATAGTGATTGTCCTAAATATCTCTAGTTGGTTATCTTTGAGGAATTATAGATGAAACAAGACTGGTATGATTTTGATTAATTATAGAGATATAAATTAAAGTCTTGAAAGAGTACAAGGTGCTGAACCGACCCGCTATGAGAAAGTTAAATGGTACAATTCATAAGCTTATCTCATATGTAACTATATCACTAAGCCCTTTGACCTGAGATCATCATGAATTCCTACATAATGACCACTAAACTTTGATCTAGTCAAAAGTCACCTTTGACCCAGTGATCATAAAGGCTAAGATTGAGTTTAGTGATATTCATACAGAGAAATATGAGTGGTCAAGATGAAATTTATCCCACATTAAGTGAGAGATATTACTGCACCCCTCAATGAGTAAGACTGAGAAAATGTATGGCCATACTACAATGGAAAGGGTTTTTCCATTGCTACTGTTAGTCTACTCAGAGATCGAGAAAGTAATGGTCAGGTAAAGGAGAATGACAATTTCATATCTCATACTTGATCGAAATATCGCATAATAAAAGGGATGTGATATGGTTGCATGATAGGTTACATTGGATCATCAATTTCTATATGAATTGGGTAGTTGTAATGTCTTGCTAGAGGCCACTTGTAACTTGTAGGCTAATAGTGTAATTAGCCTACTGCTAATTTTATATGGGCCTACAGAGTCGCACACAAAAATAACCCAACTCGAGCTATAATGTTCAAGTTTGTTGAATCTGGAATATGTCTAGATTCAATAAATGTAATATAGGATGAATAAATTTTATATATATATATATATATATTTGAATATTTATTTGATAAATATATATATATATATTTATATGAAATATAAAATTCAAAATATAATTATATATATATGTATATATATATTTTCAAAATATATATATCCATATATGTATATATATCAGATATATATATATATATGATATATGTATATGATATATAAAATTAAATATAGATAATATAATATATATATATATATATATTCAAAATATATATATTTATATATATATATATATATATATGTATATGTATATGTGATACATATTATATTATATTATCTTATGTTATTTTTAAATTTAATTTTATATGATAAATTAAATTTAATAACTAACATGATAAGAGAGAATATCATGTCAGTTTTATAATTTAAATTTATAAGATAAATTTAAATTAGATATGATATTATGGATTAAATTTTTGAGATAAATTTAATTAAATTTTGATGAGTTTTTAAGTGGAAGACAAAAATCATTATCTATATACTATATATAGATAGAGATGTCCTTATGAAGACACAGGCAGAGAGAGAGTTAGAAAAGTTCTGCAAAACACTCTGAGAGTTACGAAACAGCCTATAGAAAGGAAAATTAATGTTAAAAAAAGAACGGACGCTGAGAGCGCTAGCACACTATTCGAGTTAGAAAGCTATTTATGTGGATATCGATAGAGGGAGCAGATCTATGTTGTCAACTCCTGAAATACATACATGCGCTAACTTCAAAGAATTAAAAAGGTAGCTATTCTATCCACCTTGACTTAAATGAGTTCGTTCAGTCCATATCAGGATAGGTACTTTAAAATTTTAATCTTTTGCTGTGCCTCCCTATCCAACATGAAATTCAATAAAAAAAAGGGGTAGAATTGAAGCTTAGAATTGTGCAATATTTATCCAGCAAATTATTAATTGAAACATACCCTCGAGATCTAGATATCGCTTGCCCTAGCAGAGCTGAATGTTTCCACCCCTCTATATGAGTTTTTTCACACTACCTCTTCTGATTTCATGAGTTGATCACGTTAGTTTTAAGTGATTCCTAGATAATGTGCCATGGCGCACGCAACTTCCACCACGACACGTGGCATAATGAGTTCAATCTCATCTGTACTCGCATTTTATGTCCTGGATTGTCTTTCTACCCTTCAATTATATTAATATAACATCCAAACAACACAAAATACCAACTTAACACCTAAACCACAATCAATCTATTAATTATTAATTTACTTCCAATTAGCAAGTAGTTCGTAAAATCTCTTAGTATGGACTGCACAAACAAATAAGCCATGTGGACAACACTGATAAGTTAAATGATCCTTGACTATAATTTTATTTTGTTGGTTTTTTAATTTATATTTATAATGTTTTAATTGTTACTATGAGGTAGCATTTCACATTGAAATTATACTAAATTGTTCAAAAATATGAAAATTTTAAATAAAAAATAATTGATAAATGATAGCATTCCAACAAAAATGACATTAAGTTGGAATCACAATCTAATATTGTTCAACATCATTATAGTAGAGTTTCCAATTTTAATTATTACTAAATATATGCTACTAAATCTCATTTGTATAGGAAGGTGTTTTAGTCTATTAAAATTTATTGGTAATTTAAGAGACTTGAATTACCATTAATTTTTTAATAAAAGTCTTATTCTATAATTTTTTAAGTCTTTTTTTATAATTCTTTACATTGTTCTTTGTAATTTTTAAATCAACTTAATGTTACCAACAAATATTTATTAGAGAGGCAATATTACTCCTTAAAAAAATTTATTTAGGGGCATTATTGCCCAATTTCCAACGTTTTAAATTTTTTTGAAGAATTTATTTGTTATTCATAAAGAAATTTAGAAATAATAAATTATGTCTTTAACCTTATTTTAATTATTATTATTATTATTGAGAATTTGAACCGTTTCTCTTTTTCCTACAGGGACAAGGAAGCGACTCGATTTGTTTCCGGACCCTAGAGAATCCTTCTGCTTTGTTCCTTGCCCCAGCATGACATATCGTCTCAACAGTCAGACGAACAAACTGAATCGACCGGAACTTGAGTTGTCGTTACACTGCAGAAACTAAGCCACCGGAGCTCCGCGACGCCGCGGTGTCACACTGACCCACAGTCTCTTCTCGCTTAGGGCAACGTTCGTCATGTCATTCCCCAGTATTGAAGCAAGGAACAACCTGAGTTTCTTCTGAATCCGCGGTTGAAGCTTCGACTCTCATTAGGTTCTTTTTTAACTCCTTACAATTGGTATGCTTTTTATTTTTTGGGGGCGAGAATGTATTTGAACGTCGCATTGCGGGTCGATGAAAAGACTGAACTCTGAATAAGATAGTTTTGGGGGACCAGAGCTTTGATGGTAGTATTGAGGCTCAATCTGAGTTTTGGGTTTGTTCGTAGTATTTGCATGTTTTTTACTGACCTTAATATTTCAGCTTTCAACGAACTGAATTTTTGTGTCTGTTGTTTTGATTTCTGTCTCAAGTGTTGCGAGTTTTTTTAAATGATGTCTCTTCTCTCTCTCTCTCTGTTTTTTTTTTCCTTCCATCAAGGTGATGAATGGTCAGCTTATCCTTTTGTGTCTTTTGTTTTTTTGTGTCTTGGCCATGTTCTCAAAGAGAATTTCGTCTTAAAAGAGAGGAATGGGGTCTTGCAAAGGAAAAATCAAGCGGGAACATTCTCATCTTACAGAAAATTGGGAATTTCCTCAATATGATACTAGATTGATGAGGCGATTAAAGAGAAGGTCCATTGCCAGCGAGACGATGGTACACAATTACATTGCCAATGCTACAAAGAAAAATGTGGTTAGTTGTGGCTATGAAGCTGTGAAAAATACTGAGAATAGCGGTCATGTTGTGGAGGAAGAAGTGGATGAGGATTACGGATTCTTTTTAGATGAACTTGTTTTCCATGTGGATGTCGTCGGTGATAATAATGTTATTGCTTCTGATATTGATGTTAACACAAGCCATGACAGCAATAATGATGATGACATAGATTCTCAGTATAAAATGTTCTTGGAAAATTTGAGGGATGATGATTCCTCATACATATTAAAAGTCTTTTCTGATAACCAGTTCTTTTTTGTAAAGTATGAAGGACAAGAAGAAAGATTGCACGATTGGGTCGCTAGTGAAATTCAGTGTGAGGGTGATGATGAAGATTACCAAATATTCCTGAATTCATTAAGGATGGAAGGTGACAATTTGGTCTTCATGCCAGAAAGTGCCTTAACAATAAAATATGAGGGAAGTGAATCAGAAGAAAAGAGTTCAAACGTCAGGCAGAACTTACAAGTTCTCTTTGAGGCAACTGAACTCGCTAGTTCAAGACAAGGTTCAGATGATTATCTTGTGGCCAAGGACAAGTACCACGGTGAAGTGTTCAGAGATGTTGTCGATGGAGACTGGCAAGTATTTCTGAACTGTGTGGTTAGGCATAACTCAGAAGAAAAAGGCTCATCAGTTAAGAAGAATTTACAAGCTCCTTTTGCGGCAACTGAACACCCTAATTCAAGACCAGGTTCAGATGATTGCCAGGTGGCCTGGGACAAATGCAATAGTGAAGTGTTGAGAGGTGTTGTGGATGAAGACTGGCAAGTATTTCTGAATTCTGTGGTTAGGAAGAATTTCGAAGAAAAAAGTTCAGCAGTTAGGAAGAATTTACAAGTTTCCAATGAGGCAACTGAACCCCATAAAGCAAGAAATGTTTCGGATGCTTATCATGTGACCAAGCACAGTAATGAAGTTCAGTGTGGTATTGATGATGAAGACTACCAATTATTCCTAAATTCATCGAGGATAGATGATGACCATTTGATTTGTATGCCAGAAAGAGCTATCGTAGTAAAATATGGGGGAAGTGAATCGGAAGAAAGGAGTTCAAAGGTTAAGCAGAACTTACAAGTTCCTTATGAGGTAACAGAACTCCCTAATGCCAGACAATGTTCAGATGATTTTTGTGTGGCCAAGAACAAACACCACGGTGAACTGTTGAGTGATAATATTGTGGATCGAGACTGGCAAGTATTTCTGAATTCTTTTCTTAGGCAGAATACTGAAGAAAAATGCTCATCTGTTAGGCAGAATTTACTAGTTTCCAATGAGGCAACAGAACCCCCTGGTGCAAGACAAGGTTTAGATGCTTGCCATGTGGTCACACATAAGTGCAATGGCAAAGGGCTGTGTAACATTGTGGATGAAAATTACCAACTATTCCTGAAATCTGTTAGTATAGCTGGTGACAATTTGATTTACATGCCTGAAAATGATGTCACAGCGGTATATGATGAGGAATGTGATCAAAGTTCCACTGATTCTGAACCAGTTGTTCTGGATCCTCGTCAACATTATGAAGACAGCCCACTCATTTGTTCAAAAAGTTGTCACTCATCTGTAAGTGTCTTTTTCTTGGGCAGTAATCACTGGACTATTCATGATATGTAATCTAGATAGTAATTGCACACATCCACCTAATTAGAATGTTTTGGAAAAAAATTTTTAATAATTGTTTTATGTGTCTTGGTGTGTTTAGTTCCTCGCAAATGAAGGGAACCATGAAGACAACATCTTTATGTCCTGTGCTTTTGATTCTTATAGAAAAGGGCTCATGGAAGAACTTAAAAGGCCTTTTAACCAGAATGAGCTTGATAAACATCTGCAAGTAGCATCTCATGTAAGGCCAAAGGAGCAACATCGAGACTTGCGCAATGGGGTGATGAAAGATCGTCCGGCAGGAGGTGATAATAATAAAACATCATATCTTAAAATATACAGTGGTAAGGTTCATTGTTTCTTTTCTTTTTCCCCCCTATTTTAAACAATTGTTGCATTGAGCATGATTCATGTAATCATTTGAACTGATGACTTAATTATTGGATGCAAAAAGATAAATTAGCAAGGAGTAACCCCACCTTTTGTGTTCCTACTCAAGGACCACACCTCCCTCAGTGATAAAGGGACTCAATCTCTGCGTTTTTGTGAAGAATGTCACAGCTTTTGAATGATCAGCATGAGGGACTGTGGTAGAAGACTTATCTGATGCAAAATTAATTTCATATTTGCGCAATGGTGATTCATGCTTTTGCAGGTCTACGTAATGCAATTAATCAAGTCAAGGAACCACATAAGGTTCTGTTTCTCCTACGTGGATTCTTTTACTGGTTGAAGGTAAATTAATAATTTCACTGTATCTGTGGTTTTAGACTGGTAATATGCATGAAAGACTGAAAGTGGAACAATATAGGGGAGTTGAACGAATGTGGTCCGTTAGGGGCAGAACGGAGAAAAGATGGATGGTTTTCCATTTTGATTCTAGTTTCAAATGCTTGCCTTTTACGAATATAACATATGCATTGTTCATTGATTTAGCACATAAGGAAATTTTCGTTTCATTTTTAGCTAGATTTATGGGGCCTGAACCAGCTTTAGTTAATTGCATATGATTTACTTTGAGGTGGTGGGTTTTATTGTCTTCAAACTAATGTTTTTGGAGATGAGGAGGAGTTGAATGGAAGAAGAAATGGTTGAAAGGGTACAAATTCTTAATTTGAGAGTTCACTAGTTTGAGAACATATTTCATAGTGAAGATAGAATCACAGCTCATGCCTTCCGTTAAGGATTCTTTCTTATTATTTCCTTGGTTTCAAAATATATGTTTTGGCTTATTTAGGATTTGTTTTGTTGGAAAGTATTTCTAATCTTTTCCTTGGAAAAGTTTTCTCAAAATAAAACATGGAAATAATTTCCTGTCCGTTCACCACTGCCATTGTTACATGCTTTACTTGGGCACAAATTGAATCAAACTAGAGCTCGAGCTTGAGCCTGCTATTGGATCTAAATACAGGCCTCAAGTCCAGCAAGATGAACTTGGGGCCAAAGAGAATTTTTGAAAATGAGATGGACCTAGTTCCAATTCTAGAACCTGATAATTTTGATATTGGTCAAGCGACTTTTGACTTGAATTTTGGCCTATAAGTGCATCAATTCCTATAGTTAACATGATGTGCACATTAATGATGATTGCTAGTTGCTCACCGTTCCAAGTGTAACTTACAGCATGTGCCCCAGGGAGGAGCATTTCAGCCATGGCTCGATGCATCCTGTTTGGAGATGTTACAGAATTTGTGAACATGAGATCTTGACGTGTAAATCTAGGTTTTGCGTTTTTGCTAAGATGCTGTATCTAGAAGAAAGTTTGTTCATCTACAATTATCTAAAGAAATTAGTATCTGTTATGATATGTATCTGAACTTGACAGAATTGCTGGGCAAAGTTGTTCCCATTGTAGCCCTTGGCAGTTATAGGATTTGACTTGATCATAATTATGCATACATTTAATTGTTTGCATTGGTTCTGTTAATGAAGCCATCTTAAATATTTAATGGGAAAGCTTACTGTCAATTGGGGTGGTATAAGTGCTCGATCTGAACTAGATAGAGTTCTGTTAAGTTCTTTCAGCTCGCATTAGGTAGATTCAGGATACTAAGTGCAATATCTATTTCTAGGTAAGGAAAAAAATTGTACATACATGTACAATGCACATGAAAGAACGGTGTCATCCTGTAGATGTTTTGTGCATGTTTTAATTCAAGTGATGCTATTTCATTTTTTGAAAAGGTAGTTGGAACTTGTATCATGACCGGTTATTCATTTAAGGGCGAAGACATGATTTTATGACAATTTTTTTTTTTGGGTGAATTAATTTCATGACAATTTTATTAGCGTTTGATTTGGATTTGTGTCAGTCATTATATGCTAGAATTTTTCTTTGGCATCTGAGATTCAAGTATTTTAAATGGGAGATCAAGGTGTAGAATGATCTAATAGCATATAGTATTTTTGCAATATATGATCGGATGCGGAAGAGAATTCCTTTTTTTTTTTAATTAAAAAAAGATGTCAAACAATGAGATTAAAGTCAATAGAAGTTACAGTCCAAAAGTCAATAAAGGTGAAGAAAAGAAAGAAGAAAAAAGAGCAATGCAATGTTGTTAAGGATATTTGGATAAGCATCCCCCAACGGAGGTTTGGACAGTCGAGATGTCAGAAGCTCATTAGGATGTTACAAAATTTTGTTTGCATAAAAAATTCTTGAGAAGAGTGTCGAGGATTAAACGCCTGTTCTAATTTCTTTTTTTTATTATTATTATTATAAGAAACAAAGATACAAAAAAGAAACCTAATTAAGAGAAAAGATCAACTAGTTTGGAAGAGTAAGCACTTAGAAAGGACTTATTCCAAGCACCTAAAGCGGAAGAAGGTAAAGGTTCAAAGAAAACATTACTAAAATAATACAGAAGACTATTAATATCATGACCCATAATTTTTAAAGTAACATTTTTGTCGGCAGATTGTATGAAAAATTTGGCTTGTATTTTCTTAATAAAAGCCATTGTAATATTAGAGAATCCAGGAGCTCCAAATTCTTCTAAGTCAGTGATCCATTTAATGTAGTTCTTGATAATCTCCATAAAACATGTCATTTGCAACTTCAGCAGGTTGTCATCTCTTTGCTTGATGACCAATTGAAAATTATGAAAGATTATAACTTGAGCACAGTAAGATATCTGCCTGGTTTTACTCTTAATTCTCTGGATGCCTACAAACAAAAACCATCCTTTTCTGGCTTTTGCATGTGATATTTCCCATTCCTTCTTCGTTTCTTGCACAGCATTAGAATGAAAAACAAAAACGCCTGTTCTAATTGAAGCCAAGAAGATAAGCTTTGGATATGATAACATGCCGCACAATGAGCTTTGGATGAAATATTTTTTCTTTATTCCCACCTGACTACTTTTGACTCATCTTTACCTTTTCTTTCCTTGAGTATATCTATTTATTTTTTCTCCTCTTTCGCGTCTCCGTCTTTCACAGAAAGATAAAAGGTGTTAAATTTATAAAAGCATAACAAAACACTTCAAAATATTGAACAAAATTAGACATAATAATAATAATAATAATTAACTTTATTAATATCAATATATATGCCTATATATTCTTAAAGATAACTCATTTCTCTTTTTTGTCGAATACAAATAACTCATTTCCCAGTCTTTATACAACATGTTTAACTTAAATTGTAATTTAATATTGAGTAATGGTATATCTTTGCTCTTGAAGTATTTTTTGAAAAAAGCCCACCACCTTAAAGTATTGGTCAAAGTAATTTTACCCTTAAAATAATTAAAACAAAGCATTTTTGCTTTTATCATTAAATTTTTCACATTGATTGTTGGAAAATGCTAATTGGGATTCAAAAGTTCATTGTCAGGGAATTTGATAGTGAGGGCAAAAATGCTGTTTTAATTACTTAAAGAGAAAAATTGTTTTAACCAATACTTTAGGATGCCAGGTTTGCCCTTTAATATTCATAATTTATCAATGTATTTTATATTTGCAATATACTTTTGTCAAAAAAATTGTAATTTAAAGTTTATCAATTTTTTCTAAAAATATCAAAGTAGTCACAAAGATATACTCTCTCTGTTCAAAAATATAAAAAAATTTTTAATGAGTTAGATATTAAAAAATATAAGGCATTTTTAGTCTTTCAAAGTATAATCATTGCCTTTTTTTTTTCAAAAATATCCCTAATGATGGTGACTTTATATTTATTGTAGGATATTTAATAGGAGTGAATCTGAACAGATAGGGTTAGTTTGAAAGTAAGTAACTTTTTTATTGAAGGTGAATTCAGTTAAAAATGCCTTACATTTTTGAACGGAGGGAGTATATAAAAAAAATTTATCTCCATTTTCGTCATATCTTAATTGGCTGTTGAATCAAATTATCTAAATAAATTTTAGTTTGTCTAACTATTTGCTAGGGGGAAAAAAAAGTATCCAAAACGTAAATCATGTTGGAGTCGCATTTTTCCATCTAACCTCATTTTGCTTACTTTTGGTGATTCTAACTTCACGTGCGTATTTTTTAATCTAAATACACAATAAGTTGTTCCATTGAAATCAAATTGAAAGAGCAAAAGTATATGTCAAATGTCTTGAAGAATATCACTATCTTTTTGGTGGAATTGTGAAAACAAGAAATTTCCACAATGCATGAAAATCTTCAATCCTCCGGTGACATATTGATTGCAGTGCCTATCGCCCATGCAAGATACTGCATAGACAAACCTGCGGAAATTCACTTGAAGAAGAAGCAAGGGATTTTTTAACATGGAATCTTTGCAACTCTTCTTCTCCGAAATGGAGAGCTAATGCTTGAATCTTGAAATTTTGATGGTCCAGTTGGATGGACATTTGCTAAATTTGTTAAAACTGATGAAGGGCAAACAATGATGCCTTTTCCTGAAGAATAACTATCCAAACTATGATTGTTTCCTTGCTTAGATAAACTTGTCAAGTAGAAAGATATTTCAGAAATTTGATCTATTCTCGAAATCCCTTAATTATTTGATGCAGGGGGAAATTTTCCTCCTGTTTAAGGCTTGATTTCTTGTTATCCAAATAAAACGTAGAAGAGTTTTTTTTTTTCTTTTTTAAATCATAGGAAGATCATTAAACCTATATAATTTATCAGAAACTCTTTAAAATCCAGTAAATGAAACCTCAATGAGAGAACCCATTTGAACAAATTCCCAAAAGAGCCAAATCAAACAACAGTCACAAAAAGATATTCACAGAATGTATGAAACAGGAATCCTGTAAATCAAAACCAAAAGGACACAAATTGAGGTTAGAACATGACGGGCTAAAAGAATATCACTTGTAGGGATTGCCTTATACGTACTAATTAATTTCCAAATGAAAAGTAGAGTAATGAAGATGTAATTTCCACATTAATATACCTGAATAATCACAAAAAGATAATGGAATTTTAATGGTTTGTTGAATTGCGTTCAAGTCATACAAGCTCCTTATAACATCCTAGAGAATTTAACCTCTAATTAGTGGAATAAATGAGGATTAATAAAAAGAAAAGGCTCTGTGCCACATGCCGCAGCATGTTCATTAGAAGCTGTGGTGCATGGGCTAGTCAAAGCACGAAGACCCTTCTTTTTACTACATGCTACAGCACGTAAAGACAGACGCCACGACACACAGTACAAATTCTGTAGGATTAAGTCGCAAAAACATATAGAAAATAGAGAGAAAACAAAAGATACATGGAAAAGACATGAGGAGCTCTACTAAAGCTTGAAAGATTGAAATATTGAAAGTGTTTTAAAGCTTCTAAACACTAGAGGTAAGTTTTCTAAACTTGAATCTCTCTTTCTCTTCCATTTTTCTCGATGATAGGAGTTAGAGTTTAGTTAAGAAAGATGATTTTTGGTCCATAATAGCTATAGGTCTAAATTTATTGATTTAAATAGAGTTAATAGGGGTTGATTGAGCTATCTAAGCCTAACATTTATGACTCTATATACTTTCGGTTGGTTGGGGCCATAAATGAATGAGAATCCATCATTAATGAAGTGGTTGGGGCAATGTGACTTTATGAATGGTTATTTAGGAGTTCAATAAAATTAATAAAAGTTAGAGGAAACTAAGAAACCTTATGGGTACCTAGGTATGTGAAGGGTATGAAACTTAAGGGAGAAGAAGCGTTGAACTAGAAAATGGAAGTTAGGCAAAAATGGATATTGATAAATTATATTGTGATTAATTGTAGAGTAATCATATTTGGTACCGTTCAAGTTTCGTGAAAGTTTTGGGAGTGTGAAATTGAGGGGTATACCTATAATCTCTCAAAGGTTTGAGGTAATTAAAAAAATTCTCTCTTGTGCTTTTATGTGTTAATTAATTTATTAAGTTATGTTTGATAATTTAAACATATGAAATTGAATGAAATGTAAGTATGCCATGGCTTACTTGAAAATCCACTATAATGATCTTGTAAAGTTCAATGATGTATTTTTCATTTGAAGTTCAATTATGTGATTCGCAAATGGAATTCATTGATTGTCAGGTCATGAGGAGTTCAATGACTTGATGTGTGAAAAGTGCAATGAAATAGTGCTATGATGTCCTATGATGTGTTGCTTGTGGAGTTCAACAAATATGTACTGCACTACGTGGAGTTCAATGATTACGAGTGAATGGAGTTCAATGATTGTATGTTTTGGGAAGTTCAATGATTGTGTTATGTGGAGTTCTATGATAATTATGAATTGAGAAAATATAGAGTACCATGAAGTGAATTGACATGTTAATGTCTAAAATAATTACATTTTTGATGCATTGGCATGATCTTGAGAGATGGAAGTTCACCTAGAGAGGAGAGTAGGAAAATAAATCCACATGGTAAGGCTTTCATCAGAGCTCGATGATTAGTCTGGATTTATTATTCATATTGTCCCACTTGTTCAATGAGGAACT